TAGGAGCTCAGTAAATACACGGATTGAACATGTATGTCAATAGTGATCAACTGAGAATCCTGGTACATTGGGGGGTGCTTCTCCTGGCACAGTCCCCCGCCTGGGAGGGCCTCCTATGCTTCCCCCACATCCTCAGGCTTAAGGCCAGAGGAAACGGCAACTTTCTTCTCTGGGAAAGTGTTATGGGGCTCAAACGTTTGGGGGTTTTCAGAGTCAACCGTCAGAGGCGAGGGAGTTTCTCTGCTGGCGGTGACAAGGGCTCTCAGCGTGCACACAGCCTGTGAGCAGACCGCTGCGGTCTGCAGAGAAAATGCCGACTATGTTTATTTTTCACCTAGGCCTGCAGGAAGTGGGGGGGCCAGCTGGGGGGTTGGGGGGCACAAGCTCAACTTCAGAGTTGAGGAGACCTACCTCAGGAGTCCCCCATTTCCACCTTCTCCTGCCCTGGCCCCCTTCCTGGCTCCAGCCTTCTGAACAAGAGGAGGGCATGCTGGAGCACCAGAGTGAGGAATTTCTAGCCACCGGCTAACAAAAATATCTCAGATGGATGAGGAGCACCTTGGGGAAGCGTGGGGAAGTCTGAGCAATGCAGTAGCAGGAAGAGCCACTTCTGCTGGAAGTGAGCCCTGTCACCAGGCATCTAGCATGAGGCTGGACAAGCACTGGCAGGGACAGAAGGGATGACATTCAGGGTAGCCCTAAGAGGGCCACAGGCTGGTGGGGGAGGCAGAAGGGGCTCAGTCAAAGGCAGAGACCGGGATCTGGGGTGCCTGATCAAGGAGTACGGGCTGCTATTATCATTCATGCGTTTGTACATTCACCATGCTTTGAGCACTTACTGTGTACCCAGCTCTGTGCTTGGTACTCTGCCCTCAGAGGTAAAAGAGATGAGGTTGTGCCGTTGATGTGCTCAGGGCCTGGTGGGGACAATCAACCCAGGCCTGCCTCCTTTCCTTGCGGGGCTGGGCACAGTCATCATGAAGAAGGGGGGAGGAGAGAAGGGGAACTTCAGTCACTGGGCTCCCCATACACATGCCAGGCCCCAGGCGACCCCAGCCTGTTGTCTGGGCAGCCTGGCCCTGGGACAGCCTTGTGCTAAGGCCCTGGAGCGGGACGTTCCACCAGCTGAGGGGGGCATGGGGCACTGGGCCCTGTGCCAGGCAGTTCCCCCTGGCTACCACCACCAGGCATGGAGGGGCTGGGGAGTGAGGCTAAGAGGCAGCCTGTGTGAATGTGGGAAGGACCGGCCAGGCCCTAGTGCCCTGCCCCAGAGCCCTGGCCACCCCAGGGCCTCCAGCTACCAGTGGGTTTTCTGCCCCACCCTGCCTACCCAGCACTTCTCCTGTGGTTTGGCTGCAGAATCTTGTTTAATGAGGCTTTTCCCCAGTTCCCAGGGAAGGCTGGTGGACAGGATGGGCCCACTGCCCACTAGGCACACCCCCTATTGTCCCTGTCACATGCACACAGAGCAGGCCAGCAGCTAAGGCTGAGCTTCATTCTCTCTGAGGTTTCCTAGGCCCAGCCAGAGATGTGCGGCAACCTAGGGCTCAGGTAGTAAAGCTGGACTTCAACTAGGCCCAGCATGGCCAAAGAGGGCCAACTCTGGCCTTCTCAGGCAGGAGGGCTCTCCAGGGCTTCCCGTCCAAAGCTGGCCCTCCCCAGGGAGGGTAGTTTACTGAGAAACCTGCTGTAGAGCCACCCTCTCACTGCCTTGGAGTAGAAGCTCCCAACTGCAGGCAAGTGGAGACTCTGGGACTGTCTTCCTAGAGCTGGCATCTTGGACCCTGGGCTCTGCTCCTAAGGCTTTCCAGGGTAAGAGCTGCCTACTCTGCCAGCCAGGCCTATAGTCAGTTCTGAGCGACGAAAAGCCAGAGCCAAGACTGGATGGCAGGGCCTTCTCTGAAGAAAGAGCTTAGACTCAAAAGCCCCCTGGTTCTGTAGGGATTTATGGAGGGTGTTTATCCCACCTGTTGGGCTGGGACTCCAGACATCTGTGCCCATAGACAGTGAATCGTGGAATGCTTTCTGCCAGGGTCCAGTGTTCCTGAAGGAATGGGCCCTGAGGCTCAGTATCCCTGCCCCAGCAGCCACAAGGCCTGGTCAGGATTGATGCTGTCTGGCTACCACTGTCTAGGATAAAAAGGCCCCCAGGGTTTCCAAAAAAATTCCTATTTATTTTAATAGACCCTGGGTTCCCACTCCCCAAAACTGTAGGACAAAGCAGGATTTTTGCATCTGTGGCCAGTGAGGTGGGTATGACTGATATTCTCACCCCCATCTTACAAAAGGATAAACTTCAGGCCCAGAGAAGGGACGAGACTGGCCCAGGATCCTATAGTGAAAAGGTCAATGAAAAGGTCAGCAGGCCTAGAGCTGGGCTTCCCAACCTACTTCACATCACGGCACACTTAAAAAACTATCAATGAGTAAATGGAGAAGGATGCTGGAGGCTGAAGCACCCATGGGAAGTCCTGGGCATCGTAAGCAAGGAGGACAGTAGAAGAAGCTGGGGTCTAATCACACAGAGCTTTGTAGGCCCCAGAGAAGGAGACACACTGAGGGCCACACTTTAGGCAGAGGACTGACATGATCTGATTTATGTGGCTGCTGCATGGAGGACTGGACGAGGGGGCAGGAGAGAAGCAGGGGTCCAGGGAGGAGGCTGCTGCAGTCGTCCAGCTGAGAACTGATGGTGAGAGACAGGCAGGAAGGAAGATGTGGCTGGATTCTAGATATATTTTGAAGATACAGCCTTAGGATTTGCTGACAAATTGGATGTGGGGGGTGAGAGAAAGAGAAGAGACAGGATGATTCCGAGGTTTTTTGGTCTGAGCAACTGCAAGGATGTAGTTGCCATTAACTGAGGAGGATGATGGACAGGAAGGTTTCGGGCAGGAAGTCAAAGGTTCTGACTTTGATATGTTGAATTTAGAGGGCATCTTAGACTTCTGAGTAGAGTTGAATAGGCATTTGGTGAAGTTCTTAGAAGTGGAGAAGTGGGGGCTGGAGATAGAAACGGGGAGTCATCAGAGGAAGATGTTTAAAGCCTTAAGCCTGGATGAGAGGAAGAGGATGAGGAGCCAGAAACAGAGCCAAGAAGGGGTGCCCCATGAGGGTGGAGGAAATTCAGGTGAATGTGGCATTCTGAAAGCCAAGTGAAGAAACTATTTCAAAGAGGAGGGAGAAATCAGTTGTGTCTGATGCTGACAAGAGGTCGAGTAAAGTGAAGACTAAGAATTGACCACTGAGTTCAGGATTTTGGAAGTCACTGGGTACCTTGACAAGAGTTATCTGATGGAGGGAGGGGGCAAGAGACTGGCTGGGTTAAAGAGAGAATGCAAGCTGAGGACCAGAGGCAGTGAATGGGGACATTAGTCTGCTGAGGTTTCTGAAAAGAGGAGTAAGACATGAGCTGGTAGCTGGGGGAGGATTTACAGACGGGAGAAATGACAGTCTGTTTGTACCCTGGTGGGAATGAGACTGGGCTTGCAAAGTGCTTGGCATAGTGGCTGGCATGTGGCAGGTACTCAGTACCTGAAGGATTTTACATGAATCCACATACCTGACAGCTGACATGGCCCTCTCCACGTTCCCCCACCTGCCACCAATTAGGATGTCAACTCCTGTCTACCTGAGGACAGAAGGAAACCTGGGTAGCCCTGTTGTGTAAGGTGCCTCCTGGTGGACAGAAGGATGAGCAGGGGATGACAAGTGGTAGTGTCAGCACCTTCCCCAAAACCTGAGGGGAAGGGTGTAGCTTGTAGCCTGGAGGCAGGAATGCAAGGAACTATCACAGGCCAAGGCTGCTGCTGGGAGCTGTGGCAGCCTGTGTCCAGTTGGGAGCTTCATGCCTGGGCTACTACAGTGAAACTGAAACCCAACCAACCTCCTCTAGCCTCGTCCTGGACCCCAATAGCCAAGTGCCAAGGGACCTGTGCCAGGCCTTATCACCATGTGGTTTGCTAACCCTCCTGAGACCTGGGGATGAAGGGATCATGAACCCCATTCATTACCAGGAGAGGAAGATCTTAATGAGTCTGGATTTAATTCACCTTGTGGGGAATTTTACCCACAGAACAACGTGGGAAGGAGCACAGGCCACAACCTCTCATTACTGTCTTGTCCCAAAGATGTCCCCTCTTTCTTTTGTGCCATGGGTCAGAGATCACTCATCAATGCTCCCTGCCAGCAGCATCCCTACAGATGGACTTTTCTGAGTAGGAAGCTGAGCCTCAGTTGTGGATGATGTCTCCAGGGCCCTGGCTGGCACAGGCGTACACAGAGGATATACAGAGCTGGGCCTTGGCCCTGGCAGCGACTCCCTGTGGCTGGGTTCCTTCCCAGCAAGCTGACTGAGTCATCTCACAACACAGAGCCATCTGACTAGTGTGAAAAGTAAGAGTCCTGTGGTGCTGAGGAAACAGGAAGTGCAGGGGATGGGTTAGGGGACTGAGGGGGGCCCTTCCCTGTGTCAGCAGATCCTGTTAGGCCTGAGGTGGGACAGAGACTCAGGACCCCCAACCTAGGTGCTGGAGGAAGAGCAAAGAGAGCTCCAAGCTGTCCTGGGGTAGGGCAGGTCCTCAGACCATTACCCTCTGTCTGGGGCTGGAAGCTGTGAGTAGCCCCCCAGACAGGCTGTTGGACCTCAGAGAAATGGGGGGATCTTTGAGACTGCAAAGCCAGGAAGGGTTTCCTGGACAGGGGAGATGCACCTCCTAGAACTGAGTGCCCAGAAAGAATGAGAGGCTCTCTGGGAGGTAGGACTGTTTGGGCAAAGTCTGAGGGACCTGTGGGCAGGAGGGCAGGCCCACTGGACATAGGGTGCCTTATATGGTGCCCCCCTCCCTGAGGCCTGTGGTTTTAACCACCACCACTTTTCTCTGACAGCTGGGCTGCCTGCACACAGCTTATTGGGCCCCTGCCTGTATGCACACCCCCAACTCCTGTGCCTTTCTCCCTTAGGACTCCCTAAATTACCCACTCTCCTTCTCACTTTTCAGCACAACAAGGCCAGTCAGCCCCCCCATGGCATCCCCCAACTCTCTCCTCTCTACGAACATTTCAGCAGCCCACACCCCACACCTGCACCTGCGGACATCAGCCAGAAACAAGGTACGGGCCTGGGATGGGGAGGGACCCAGTGAGACCAGAGCCTGAGAGCCAAATCCCTGGCTTCTGAGACTACGTAACTGGGCCCATTTTGCAACTTGTGAACCTGGGGCTGTGCAAACCGAGGACCCAAAGAAAATGCCAGAAAGAGGGACTGGGAGATCTGAGGACAGCAGAGGGCTGGAGGAGGTGGTACCAGGAAAAAATCTGAAGGATTCAGGTTGAGGTAGGAGCCTAAATCTGTGGGTGACCCCCAGTGCCAGTATGGGAGCAAGCATCTGTGCATTGCTGATAACTGTAATTCTTGTAGCCTTTCCCTCCCCCAGTAAGAAAATGGAAAGTGGTGGTTGTGATGGCTGATTCACCTCAGTCTAAGGCAAAGTCATTCTGAAATCCGCCATTGGCTGCTGTGGGAAACCAGCTGACTCAATCCTGGGGGGCGGGTGGAGCCCTGGCTCTCCAGGCCAGGCTCTCCTAGACCAGGGGGCCTGCTTCTTGCCCAGAAGGCCAGGCCAGAGCCTCCATCAGAGAGGTCCTAATTGCAGACCAGCCGTGGATCAGAGAGTGGTGAAGCCTGGCCTCCCACCCGAGTGCCTCCAACTCTGCCTACTGGCTAATTGGTGTCCTTAGGCAAGTCACCCAGCCCCTTGGCCTGTGGTTCCCTTGCCTGTCCCATGCACTATTATCAGACTGGGATAGTTCTGAACAAATCAATTTATATCTAGTCTTCCAGCAAAAGGAGGTGGGACCTTAAAGGTCCTTGTAGGAGGCTCTAAGATGCTGTAACTGCTACAGTGGTCCCCAGGTCAGTCTAGCCCACTTACTTGGCCCCTCTTCACTGCAGGAGCTCACAGACCTCTGCAGACCCCTGACCTCTCTGGCTTCTACTCTCTGACCTCAGGCAGCATGGGACAGCTCCCCCACACTGTGAGCTGGTGAGTGTGGGCCTAGTGGGAAAGGGGCACCATGCACTGGTTGGATTAGTACCTGCCTTTCCATTTTCCTCCTCTATCCTTCCATGCTGAGCACCCTGCTGCCAGCACTGTAGATACCAGGAGCTGACCAGAAACTTTATCCCAACCTGGCTCTGAGCTAGGGGTCCTTGTGGCCTCCTGGCCTGTAAACATTCCCCAGGTGGCTTGACATACTCTCTTTGGGGAGGCAGGGTAGCTGGCTTCTGGCCCTGCCCTATCACAGCTGAACTCTCCCTGAATGTCTAAGAGACTTGGTCTCCTGGTCCCCTTGGATGGGAGAACTATGGCCTGCTCAGTGACCTCCAGAGTCATATAAGTATGTGAGGAAGCAAAGGTAGGCCTGAGCAATGAGGTGACAGCATGCTGCTCCTCAGCTTCCTGGTGGCAGGGTGATACTTCCTGCTGGCCTCCATGCCTGCTGCCAGTTGGTCCCTTCCCTGGCTGAGCTGCTTGATCGACAGGGTGTTTTCTTTCCCCTGTGGTGCCTGCCTGACCAGCCTGTGTGGAGGGTCTATAAGCCTGGGCCAGGAAAAGACAGCCTGGACCCCCAAGTCAGTAGGCCTGACTGTGGGCCAAAGGGCCTGTCCTCAGCTGGAATTGGGCTTTGGCAGGCTAGTTGGCCCTTTACTCATCAACCACAGTGTGACCTGGGCAGGTCTCTAGCTTTTCAGGACTAGGGCAGTCACCCAACAGCAGGAAAGCTTGGCTTCTCAGTAAGGTAGGGCAGCCAGAGGCCCAACCTGGGGCCCACTTGCCCTTTATCCATGTTTAGCACACTCCTCTATTTCCAGATTTTTCTTGGACAAAGGTCTGTTCTGAATACAAATCAGGACTACCCCCATGAGTACCCCCAGGATCAAAGTGGGATGAGAGTGTTCAGAGCCCTGCCTGACTGGTCCAGGCCAGGGTTCCTGGAAGCAAATCTCTGGGCCAGCCTCTCAAAAGCCTCCCCTAGGCCAGAAGCTCCAAAGACTGAAAGACTTGAGCCTTGAGGAGATACTTGTCCATCAAGGCTCTTCTGAGGCAACTTCAGGCACAGTGGAGGGGGAGCCCTATGCTCTTGGCTCCCACCAGGTAGCACTTGGCTGCCAGGAGAGAAGTGAGGGTATTTTAGCCCTCTCTGCACTGAGCCCTGCTGTGTGCCAGGCAGGGTTCAGGGCACTAGCAAAGCACTACTTAAGCTGAACGATCCTTAAGTCCCTGCCTTCTCAGAACCCAGTCTACCTAGTGGGCCATCCAGGCAAGAAGCAAGACGTTACAGGGCATTGTTAGCAGTGCTTTTTGATCGGGGACTGTAGGAGCCCAGAGGGGTGCATCATCCAGCTTGGGATCTTAGAGCTTTTGGGAGAAAGGGTCACTTAGCCAAGCAAGATCAGAAAGATAAACAGGAGTTGAAGCACGCAAAGTGGTGTAGAAGAGCAATACAGACAGCATCAACAGTGGGTACAAAGGGCCTAGGACAGGTATCCACTCTGTATTGCTAAGGAAATTTAGGAGGCAGGCTGGATGGGCCCGGGGGCCTGCTAAACAGAGCCCCAGGAGAAGATGGTCATTTCCATCCCTTAAGCACCAGTGCAAACACATAGCGGGAAATAGGTGCAGCACAAGTTGCCCCCTGGTGGCAGATGCTTGAAACACACTGGAGTGGTCCCAGCAGAGGCCCATCTGTCTTACACCATAGGTCAGGCTGAGCAACGTAGGGGAGTCTTTCCCCTTGTCTGGCCAGCAGCCAGACTGCTAACAGCTATCTCTCCCAACCACAGGCCCAGCCCTCCTCTCTACCCCCTGTCCCCTTCCTGCGGATATAGGCAGCACTTCCCTGCCCCCACTGCAGCCCCTGGCGCCCCCTACCCCAGGTGAGTCCCCTACCCAGCAGCCAAGCCAGCCTTCTGCTTCCTGTTGCCCAGGCTTCAGTGCCCACACAAGGCCATGCCCAGGCCAGTGCTTGCCCTGTGTTAGTCATTTGTCCATCTGTCCGTCTGTCATTCTACAGCCCTCTGCTGCCCTGCACCTGAGAGCAAAGCTAGTAGGAGTGCAAGAGGCCTCAGCCCAGGCCACATTGTGTAGCAGAGCACCACAGAGCAGTCAGGACAGTGTATGCTCATGTGGCTCAGCCTGTGTGCGATGTGCATGCACTCACCTCTGTTCTGCATCCCTACTGGGGGAAGGGCAGCTCAGGAGGACTCTCCCTGAGCTCTGTCCACGCTGAGGCAGAACCTTTTACATAAAGGTGTCCCCAAACTTTGGCATTTTAGGGGCTGCGTGCTCAGGGATCCCATACCCGTGCAAGCAGCAAGGGGCAGAATAGTGTCCACAGAATAGAAAGTGAAGTGTGAGGTGTGTGTGCATCTCTCTTCCCTTAGCTCACTCCCTCAGTAACAGACCTAGTGCTACATATGCAACAGCAAGGAATTTGACAGACATTTCCAGCCCTACTGGTGCTCACAGCCCAAGATGGAAGGTATAGACACAACACCAGCAGCTGAATGGGTCAGCTGGGTGATGGGGAAGCCCTAAGGGACCCTAACCAGGCCTGATGGATCAGGGAGAGCTTCATGGAAAGGGTGACATCTCCTGAGAGAGGGGGAAAAAGGAAACAGTAGCAGTTGGGGCTGGCTTGGGGTGGGGAGTGATGGGAAGCAGGGGAGTAGAAAAGGGGCTAGAAATTTCAGCAGGGATGCCCATATGCAGGCCTATGCAGGCTGCACGGAGGAGCCTGGGTTTTATTCTACAGGTAGTGGGGGAATTTTATCAGGAGCAGGCCAGGAGCATTAGGTGTTTTTAAAAGGTCTCTCTAACTTGTGTGGAGAGAGGCCTGGAGGGGTCAAGCAGGAAAGTGAGAAGGTCCACAGAGTAGCCACAGGCTCCTGAGGCTGGGTTGGTGGGGGCAGGAGTAAGGAGAAGACAGATTCAAAAGCTTTTTGGGACTTATTTTGTAACTACCTCAATGGCATATATGTAGATTTTTGCAGTGTGTCTGTGTAATGTGTTGGGAGCAGGTATTTGTATGTACCTCTGTGTATTTGTGTCCTCATGTACTGTGCCGGGTCCTCTGTGCATGTCCAAAGGTCTGGCCCATAATTCCTAGCTCAGTGTTAACTCTCCTTCTGCCTCCAGGTTTACCCACCCATCCTTGATGCTAGGCTCCAGTGTACCTGGTCACCCTGCAGCCATCCCCCACCCAGCCATTGTGCCCCCCTCAGGGAAGCAGGAGCTGCAGCCCTATGACCGCAGCCTGTGAGTGAAAAGACATGCGACTGAGGGGCAGAAGCGGGGGGCAAGAAAGTGTGGGATGGGCAGGTGAACAGAACTGTTCATCAGTCAGGACACACAAGCCTTCTACCAAGCCCACCGCCTGATGCCTGGCAGCTCCAACCCTGCCAGTAGGCCCCTAGCCAAGCTGTCTTGTGGCTCTGGCTACTGACCACTACATTTTTTGATCCTCAGAAACAGGAGGGGGTAGGTGGGATGGGAAACAAGGATTTTGTTTGTGCCAAGAGGGGCGGGGCTGAGAAGTCCTTACACATGCTTTTACCACTTGGCTGTAGTATTCCTGTAAGGAAGTTACTTAGCTCTGCTCACTCATTTTGGGGCAGCTAAAGATTCTATTTATAAAACCCTGGTATCATACATTTATGCTCACACTGGACCCACACTAGAGAAGGGTGGTGGCTTCCAGTGGGCACTGGGGGGGCTCCTGAGCTATCTGGATATGTGCCCCTCAGAAAGACACAGGCCGAGTCCAAGGCAGAGAAGGAGGCCAAGAAGCCAACCATCAAGAAGCCCCTCAATGCCTTCATGCTGTACATGAAGGAGATGAGAGCCAAGGTCATCGCAGAGTGCACACTCAAAGAGAGTGCTGCCATCAACCAGATCCTGGGCCGCAGGGTGAGACCATGGGCAGGTGGGCTGGCAGGGATGATCCCTGGCCACCTTCACCCTGGGTATAGCCTGCTGACTCCCTGACGCACACTAATATGCCCCCCTTCCCTGTTGCAGTGGCATGCGCTGTCGCGGGAAGAACAGGCCAAGTATTACGAGTTGGCCCGCAAGGAGAGGCAGCTGCACATGCAACTATACCCAGGCTGGTCGGCACGGGACAACTACGTGAGTGGCCAGTGACACATAGCAGAGGCGGGTAGGGGAACCTTTGCAATACCATGCCCCAGGCTACAATCTCAGCTGGGAAGGCACAACTAGCCTACCATGGCTAACTCAGAAGAGGCCAAGCCAGGGGAACTGCCCACATCCTTTTCTCCACTCTAAGAGTGCACTCACGCATGGGGTTGTTGCCTAATATCTGATTGGACCACATGGGTAGAAGGGGCCTGGAAGTCACCTCCCTCCATTCAAATTGGAGACCAGATTAGGAGGAGGAGACACCCCTAAATGCACCCCATGGAAGCCTAGCGAGACTGCAGTCAAGAAACTCCATAGCCCCAAGGTAGGAAGGGCCTATATGCCCAGAATCCCAGGGGCAGCCAGGCTAGGCATCAGGCAGCAGATATCCCAGCATCAACCTCCCAGATCTGAGCATCCCTCTTTTTGTTCCCTGCAGGGAAAGAAGAAGAGGAGGTCAAGGGAAAAGCACCAAGAATCCACCACAGGTGAGATGGAGGCTCAGCAGTAGTGGAGGCTCCTCTCCATGCTCCTATTTCAAAAGCAGCCCTGCTCTGGCCCAGAGGGAGGGGCACAGTAATCCAGGAACCTTTTGAGCCTGGGCCCTCTGAAAACAAGGCCTGCATGTCACAAGTCAAATCCCCATGCAAGGAACAGCTATACTAAGTCCCAGGGAAGACCAGTTGAAGCCAATTCTTGTAGCAGGTGGTGTGTTCCCCTGGCCAATCCCACCTCAGTTGGTAGCACTGCTCACAGCTAACCTCTACTAGAGAAGCTAGTTAGGAACTGACTGTATGGTTTGATGCTTAACCCAAACAATGCATCTTGTCTAGTTCTGCTGAGATAGGGAGTGGGTTGTCCAGGTGGAGGCTGAGCCAGGCCCCATACCTAGGCCTAGTAGTCACACAGCCTGCTGGATGGTGCCTGGCAATGTCTCTGTCATCACCACTACCACCCACCCCCATTTCCCATGGCAGTACCAAGTGCTCTGTGTAGAGGACCCAGGGAGCTCACATACTGCTATAGGCCTCCTTCTTGTGAGTGAATTCCTTCCCCCAACTCTGATAATTCAGACTCTACATCCATGACTTTCACATTGGCTAGGACTGGGACAGGGCAGAGTCCCCAGCCCTTTCTCTGAGGTAAGAAATGGGCCCGTCTTTCCATCTGGTAGTGTGTAGAATAGGTATAAACTAGCCTTAGCTTGAGCCCTTGAGGGCATACGGGTCAGGCAGAATGAAAAAAAGAAAAAACTGGATAAAATGGGCAGGGAGTTGGGAAGAGGTGGGCAGCCCTAAGGCAGAAGAGGCTAGATCCCCATGAAACCCCCTGGGTTCTTCTGCAATCTCCATGCTGCAAGGGGCCCTATAAGCCACAGAGAGGAGCCAGCCTGAGAGGACCTGCCCACCCCACCATTCCTCCCACTGCCTCTACTGCCCAGCTGGGTGCCCACCTTTCCTGATACCTTGCTCTGGGCCTAGGGTACCCACTGGGGCTGGCTGTGCCATGGAGAGGCCCACTCTGCCTATGGGGGCTGTGGGGTGTCTGTAACTGGCTAACACTGATGTTACCTCTTCTTTCTGGGCCCTGTTCTGCCCTGCTGCCTGCCTGCTCGCCCTCTGCCCTGCTCTGCCCCTCTGTTATGGCTGTGAGCAGACCCTGGCTCGCCTAAGAAATGCCGTGCTCGCTTTGGCCTCAACCAGCAGACGGATTGGTGTGGTCCGTGCAGGTGGGTTCGTCCCCACCACTATTCTCCCTTTGCTTCAAGCTGCTTCCCTGATTCTGCACATGTTCTGCTGGGCTTGCAGACCTCTCCTTTGGCCCCTCAGCCCCCTAGCATACCCAGAATATTGGGGAACCCACATCTCTTAATGGGAGTGAACGCTGAACACAGCTTGTGAAGATGATCACTTGGGTCTAGGTGGAAAGAGGAGTGGAGAGTGAGAGAATGTTCTAGAAGGAAAGGAAAGGCAGACTCAAGAAGGTGGCTCTGGTGCCAGCCAGGCCTAGCAGGTCCTCAGCAGACAAATCTCTCACATACCACTCAGGTGGCTGGAGCCCCTGCTCCCAGGCCTCAAAGGTTCCGTCAATTCTTCCTCAAGTTAGGATCCCTGCCTGTACCATCTTGAGACCTTAAATCTGAGAAAAACAAGGTGATGACAGTAGAGAACCACCTGAATAACCTTGTGGCCAGGCTGCCATGTGACTTGCTATCTTGCAACTACTGAGACCAGAGGGGTGGAGAGGTTGGGGGAGAGGAGCAGAGGTACTCTTGGGCTGTCTTAGCCAAAGGGCCCTGTGGCACCAAGCCTGTGTGTTTCACCATACAAAAGAGAAATACTTGTGGCTGTGAAAAGGTTTATCCACCCAGTGGTTTAAAGTTGCCTCATTTAGGTTCAAGCCAGGCCTGGCAGGGCCAAAGCTGAGGGTACTCCAGGCAGTAAAGTCACTGGCTTTAAGGAATGGCCCCTCAGTATGCCTACCATGTTCCCTGTTCAAGGGCAAGAAGGAATTGGGGGGGTGGGGTGTACACATGCACATGCACCCAAGTATGCATGCACAATGGGAAACAACCCTGTCCTCAGAGGAGATCCTATTCCATCCATTCTGTGCTACTCATGTACAAATTGTGTCCCAGAGAACTCCAGGATGGTAATAGACAAGAAGTCACTGTCCATTTCTTCTTCCCTGAGCCCAGTCTTGAGGACTGGGATTGCTTAGTCAAGAAGCCACAGGCATTGCCGTCCCTTGCCTTAATGTAGATCTGAGCCCCAGGAACACATATGAAGCAGAAGCTCAAAGGCCCAGACTAGAAGATGGCATCCACAGGCCTAGCTACAAAAGGTCCCTGTGCCACCTTGTGGCTGTTCTGGGAACTGCACTTGTCCTAGGTCTGGACCAGGCCCAGCAGAGTTTCAGTGCAGATTCAGGTCTGAGGACACAGGTTATATCACCCAAGTCATGGGGAGAGAGGACAGGTGGTAGCCAGGCCTGTGCAAGGACAGCATTTTTTGGTTGTGGTGTATGACTATGAATTCACCCTCTGTTTACAGATAACTCTCTTCACTATTCCTAGGAGGAAAAAGAAATGCATTCGGTACTTACCCGGAGAAGGCCGCTGCCCCAGCCCCGTTCCTTCCGATGACAGTGCTCTAGGCTGCCCTGGGTGCCCAGCTCCCCAGGACTCACCCTCATACTTTCTGCTGCCCCACTTCCCCACAGAACTGCTTGCTAGCCCTGCGGAGCCAGCACCTACATCCCCAGGTCTCTCCGCTGCTCTCAGCCTCCCAGCCCCTGGGCCCCCACAGGCCCCCTGCAGCATCCTGCAGAGTACACAGGTACAGCAACAGGAATCTCAGACACAGGCGGCCTAGCATGCACAGGACACCTGGCCTCCTCCAGGGACCCACTCCCTGACAAGAGGAAGTGACAGTGGCCCAAATCACATGGAGACTGGCCAGAGGCCCTGTTAACTCCTTCTCAGGGTCCAGACCCTAAGGATTTCAGAGTCAGCACAACTTCTGCCTAAACCTGAGGCCATCAATTCAAACTGCGCCAAGTGGTGGGAATAAGAATCTGTGTTGATGTGTCACCTCATTAAGGCATCCCTGTGCCTATGGCAGCCTGCCTCTATTCTTTTTATCTGTCTTGCTATCCCAATGCTCCTGCTGCTCTTGCTTTTCTGTTATAGGGCACAGATGGGCTGGACTGAGCCCAGCTACCTTGTCTACCCTTGCCTCCCCTGTCCCCCACTGCCACACTCTCCCCATAACAGACACTTCTTCATGGACCAAGAATGAGCTGGTTTATCAAACAACATGTGAGCATAATCACAACCACAAAGCTCAAGATGACAATGCTTCTCTTAAAGGAATGGAGAAGCTCTGTTTACAGCAAACCAGCTGCCACTCATAAGCTGGACCAGAGGAAGCCTCTTACCATGTTCTCAGGAGCTTGCAAGAAAAGGAGGGAATGGACTAGATTAAGTTTAGGCCTGTCAACCTAGGCAACAGAAATAACTTGACACTACCCTATCAGGCAAGTGTGGGTGGTGGGCGTATCTGGCTCTAGTCCAAATTACTTGGACATGTTTCCTGAGAAACTCACTAACCTAAAAAAGCCTTGATATCAAGGCCCCAGGCCTGTCACTAGCAGCTGCAGCCAACAGTCCAAAGAAGTCATGGTCCAAGTCTGTTGCGGATCCCTCCCTATTCAGAGAGCCTTTTTCACAGTTCCATTTCCAGGTCACCATGTCAGTCTAGTCAGCTCTTGGGCAGCTGTGAGAGGGCAAATCCAAAACCTAATGACAGCCAGACCCTATCTTCCAGCATTCAAACCAGGCTAGCTTCAGTTTCCATATGGAGCTGCAGGAAGGAGGACCACTGCAACAAAAGCAAGGAGCCCAGAGGGAAAACCTCTAGTGGTGGACACTGGATTTTCACCAGTCTACTCTGACCCATTTTTGAGCCAGCTTCAACCCTGAGCCTTGAAAAACAAGTCTTTTTTTAATTTAACTTTGTTTCTGCCTCCTCACTGTACATAGCCTGAATCCAAAGAAAAAGGGCTGTCCATGTACTCACATCCCTCAAAAGCCTTTAGTTCCTACTTTAGCTACTGGTTTCTCAGAATCCAAAGATCATGTATTCTAGTGTAGCCTTGCAAAAAGTTTCGAGAAAAAAGGACTAGTGTTCGAAATATTTTTGTATTGTTAATGCATCATCACAAAAAAATGTTTTAAAGAATAAAGATACTTTTTACTGGGTTTGTTTTTCAAAGACTGACCCTAAGAATAAGTTGTTTCAGTAACAGCATGATACTCCCTTTTCTTCTCTGCAATCAAGAAACTTGGGATTTATTCCCTATTATGGTACACATTTCTAAGACTTCCAACCTACAGAAGCCAGAGGTTACCTTTATCTCCCCTAAAGGATTTTGGGCTCTGCCCCACCCCAGAGAGCTGGGCTCATGCTAGGTATAAGCTCCCATTCCAAGCCTTGTTCTTAATCCCCCAATCCTCTGACTCCACAACTGATGCAGGCCAGCCTTCTCTCCAGTGCTCATGAGAATAAATGAGTTGGAAACTGCCATCCAGAGACCCTGAAAAGACAATCCAACCTGAAATAGGTGTGTATGACCACTAGGCTCCATTTTCCTCTGAGGGCAGAATGTGAAAACAAACACTCCACAACTGCAGATCCTATTTCAAGGAAAGCAAGAACAAAGGGTCTTTTAAAACCTGGTATCATAAAATCCTAAAAAGGATATCTTAATAGCACCCTTTCTTCCCAAAGGCTCTGTTAAGGCACTTGAAGCATTTTTCTTATTTTCGTACAACACCTCTGAAGTTTGATAAATCTACAGTCTACTTTTTACATGGCAGTTTCCACCACCTTAGAGTATACTGCTAATTTCCTGCGACCTATCACGAATGTAAAAGTTGTCATAAAACCACCTCAATAGGTCAATCATTAGATAACAAATGTTGGGCAAGAATTTTTTCACAAGGGACAGGCACTGGGCCACCATCATGCATTGTAATTTTCATTGAGTTATATTTTTGGATTTTATGTTTAAAAATATTTCTAAATAAAGTCATCTTCCAGAGTAGTGTCTATCTAAAATAGGCCACTGGAAGTTGTAATCCCAAACTTCTTTCTGAAAGGGTGCTAAAAGGAGACCATTCTCTAGACAGCTGTCCCATTTTGAAGAATTCCACTCTGGCTACTGGCCTGGTTGTTTCAAAAACTACATTCTAACCAAAGCTTATGCAAGACTGGGTTGCTGCATCTGATTTGGTGTCTCATTAGAATATACCAGGTACATGAACAATATACCTTTTGTGTATATGAGGGTAGACAGGGTGGGGGTGGGGACATTGGCAACTTCGTTAAAATCAGACAAGCCTTGAAAAAAAAAAAAAAAATGACTTCAAAAAGGAAACAAATCCTCTGTCACATTCCCATGAGGCCACAGGGTGACTTAAGATTGCAGCCCAAATTCAATTTAAATATACCAATCCCCCCTCACTGCCAGCCAAGAAGCAACCCTGCATTCTGAAACATCATAGGACAAGAGACCTTAGCCTCCCTTACACATTCCCAGACATCTGATAGACTTGCAACTCACTTGAAATATAGATCTTGGCACTCGTGACTTGCCTGAAATATAGATCTTGACCCCCTCCCCTGCTGCAGCTGCTCCACATCCTGTGCTCAGTGGATATGGTAAGGACTGAGCCCTAGCGCAGTAGCAGGGCTTTCCCATGTCTCCCAATTTGAAGGTGTTTTACCCTTTTATATGAAGCTCTGTGGCAAGACTCTCTTCAAACTATAACTATCTTTTGAAGGGCTCCATTTTCTCAAGCTCCTTTGGGCTGTGGAGCTCCAAGCTGATTCAGAAGCACTGCTGCCTAGCTCTGTTCAATGTACAATAAAAAGGAAAGCCACAAGTAGAGGGAAGCAGAATGGTTCTTTACATTCTGTTCTAGAGAGGAAGAAAGAAAATTAGCTCCTGCATCCGTTTCTAGGAAAGCAAACACAGAACAGGCAAGTGTAACAAGGCCATGTTAAACTTCTAATTGCCAGGCCTGTGCATCAAAGTAGACTATAAAACCCAAAACTATAACTGGCTTTTCTTTGCGGTTAGAAAGGCTGCTTTAGCATGACACTCTCTCAGATCTCTTTACAGCTTTCTTAAAGCTCTTCAGGGCTCTGAAGGACTGTGAAACAGAGCTACCCCTCCAAGTAGACCCTGGTTCCTATGTTGTATTAACTCCTCCAATTCCAACTACTGTGATCATCTTGTTCCATATCTCAAATCCCCCTTAATTCAGGCTCCTGAGCTCTCTCATGACTAACAGACCTTTACTGGTCTACTTGTCCAAAACTGGCAGTAGGCATCTGAGAAAAGCCCCAACTTCACTACTCAAATGGCAGGGAGTTTTAAAACAGAGTAGATGGTGAGGATGGTCCCATACTCAGTCCCACAGAATAAAAACCTAGCTCAGGTCAGGAAGGATTTTCAAGCTATTATAAGACAGCATAGTGATCAGGCACAGAGTTAACTGGAAAGGACAAACTGTCCTGGGAGTAAGACCATCCTATCCTTAGCAATCCTCACAATTTAGGTCACTAGCAATACAAGGTAAGGGATGGTTCACTTCTGAAAATGAGACAGCAGCTGTGAATTATATGGGAGACAGTTATCAGTCCCAGCTGACACTTCATGTTCACTAGGGGCTCTGGATTCCTTTTTCATTCAGGTGTCCTCTCATTCTTTTATCTGAAGCCTTGTTCTTTCAGGCATGTGCAGTCAATGTCAGGCAGCAGAGGGGAAGAAATAGAAGAGAAGAGAAAGAGCTAGGTTCTACCAAAAAAAAGTCCACTCTGGAAATCCTCTTGAATAGTTTCCTCAGAGTACAGCTCTACCCCTTTTAGTATGCCTCCTGGGACAGAAAATTCTGCAAAGTATTTGTAGCAAGTAAGAGTTAGAGGTTGTATAATGGGACACTCGGGACAAATATGAATTTTCACCAAACAGGTGGGAGGTATTGAAAATGAGAGCACTTTTATGAAACAAGATGATCATCAAAGTAAAAGCAGAGGCTGGCTAGATGCTCAGTAAATGCTTCCTGAAAATTTAAAGTTGAGAGGTGTCAGAAGGTCAGGAGAACAACAGATGTGGAAGCAGATAGACACTGCTGTAAGCAGCTACATTCCTCCCACAAAGTGCCTCTCAGTACTGGCACACAGACCAGATGTAGCCAACGGTGCGTAACACTGCAGGCAAGTAATGACATACAAATATGTCATTCATGAATTAACAAATTATCAGTCAAACTAAGTCCCACATTGGAAATCTATCAAACAAGAATACCTTCAACATCTTTATGCCACCAACAATGCTCATCTCCACTGACAGCTCAGCAGGAAGAACAGAATACCCCTGACCCTGCTTACGTGTACAGACAGCTCAATCTTGGACCAAGGGACATGTTCTAAACTACGTCTTATACCATACTTCATCTTGAGATGCACACCAGTTAATTCATTCTCTTTGCCATCGGAGGTAGTAATTTTTAATAACAGTAAATAAGAAAAAGTCATCAAGACTCTAGTTGTAAAACCCCTAACATACCGAAGACTGGTTTAGATCAATACAAAGAGAACATTTAGTTCAAAAACTGCCTTGCCTGATGTGGGTCTGATGAATACTCTGGTGACATTTCACCGAAGTACTGTCACCAATCTGGCCCCAATTTCCCTTTCTAGTCTATACTCTCAGGGAAGTGGACTGACACCCAACCTTCTGCTGCTAGTTCCAGACTGAGCACTGCTTTCCCTCTAACTGTGGTATCCCTTTCCCCCCAACCAAATCCAACTTAACTTCTGAAACCAAATTAGTTGCTCTTCACGGAATCTCTCCATCCTTTATCATCCTTCCATACCTTTATCTCCCATTTGCTCATTAATCTTATTCTGTCTAGGAACATTTTTAGTAGAGTTCCTCATCCCCTTCCAGCAACCATGTGTTACACTTCCTACAAAGAAGAAGCCCAAAGCTACACTTTAGGGATTCAACCATTTCATAGGCTTTCCATTCACTTGCCACCTACTCCCTTATTCTCAACTACTTTCCTAGCTATAAATCAGTTATTCACACAAATCCAGATAATTGAAGATTTTATTTATCTATTTATTTATTTTTTCCCTTTTTGTCTTTTTTTTACTGACCGGCAACGGGATCGCAACCCTCAGTGTTGCGCCCACACCGCGCTCAGCCAGTGAGCGGGAACCGGTCTCCACATGGGATCCGAACCCTCAGCGGGAGCGCTGCTGCACTCCCAAGCGGCGCACTCTCCAGTGTGCCACCGGGCCAGCCCGAAGATTTTATTTTTAAATGCTGCAACAACTTTGAAGGGGGAACATTTACTTGGTTGATTCCTTCTCACCTGAATGTATACCAAGCTTTAGAAAAAAATCAAAAAGATCTTCAAATGTAAGTGGTGGCAATCAAAAGTTAAGCTTCCAAAGATGAGTAAGATTCTGATGGCCATGTATAAAGGGTGCTCAGAGCAAGAGGTTTGCTCTTTCCCGGCAGAAACTACTGCACATTCCCAAAATGCCTTATTGAGAGCCTAGGCAACTTAAAATTAAAATTTCTTTTTAAAATTAGAAAGAATTTAGGGCCGGCCTGTGGCTCACTTGGGAGAGTGCGGTGCTGATAACACCAAGGCCACGGGTTCGGATCCCTATATAGGGATGGCCAGTTGGCTTACTTGGGAGAGTGTGGTGCTGACAACACAAAGTCAAGGGTTAAGATCCCCTTACCAGTCATCTTTTAAAAGAAAAATAAAATAAGAATTTAAAAATTAGACATTTAAAATTTTTAAAAATTTAATCTAAAAATTTTTTTAAATTGAAAAGTTAACTTTTTTAAATTATAAATTTTTTAAAATTAAAAATTTTACAATTTAAGAATTAAAAATTTCTCGGCTGGCTGGTTAGCTCAGTTGGGTAGAGCATGGTGCTGACAACACCAAGTCCAGGGTTTGATATCTATACTGGCCAGCTGCCAAAAAAAAATTTTTTTTTTAATTAAAAATTTCTTTTTAACACCAAGGTCAAGGGTTCAGTATCCCAGTACCAGAGAGTCACCAAAAAAGAAACAAATTCTTTTGATGTTGGGATCAGAAAATAGACCACAGGATTGGCCAATTTTTAAGTAAACTGAAAAATCATGTGGTTTGGAATATCTGCCTGCCTTAAGTCACGTGCCCATAATGAGTCACTGTTATTCTCCTTCCTCCGCAGGCTAGTTCAAGAAAAAGATAGGTATTACTACGATGACTTGCTACAGGGCTATGGTTACCAATAAATCCACCAAGTCAAAATATAGATCTTGCTTAATTCCAAGAGCTGATGTATCCAGACAGTTGTAGAATAAACAAGTCACATCTATAATGCCACATGTAGGGAGCTTCAACTTAAAGAGATACTTTTGTGAATCTTTGGTACAACAGCACTTCAAGAGATAACTTGCTTCTACAAGTAAGAATTACTAGAATTTGAGGGGTGGCTAGTTAGTTCAATTGGTTAGCATGTGGTGTTATAACAGTCAAGGGTTTGGATCCCTCTACCAGCCACCTGCCAAAAAAAATTATTACTAAAATTTGAGGGGACACATTCCTTAGCCTGTGACAATGCTAGGGAGAAAGTAATAAGCTAACATTCAGGAAGGATTTGGTTTACTTTTAGATTTTACAGATGACGAAAGTCAGTCAATGAAAAGCTGAGAAGACAAAGGATTGTCAAGAGTCACTAAAAGCACCACACTGCAGGTAGCAGCTATGCGTTTTCCCTGTGTACAGAAGAAACAGACAGATGTTCTTCACTCCTAGTTGGCAATTGCCCAAGACTGCCAAACACATTCTTCCTCTCATTCTCTTTCCTGGGGAAATAGAGAGCACTTCCTAAGCCCTGAGGTTATGAAGAAGGGTTTCCTTCCCTCTCCTATGTATACCGTAATTAGAGAAAGTCTTTATAATTCATCATCAGTAACCCCTTTCCAAACAAGGCTATCACCAGTTCTCCCTTCTCACACACTACATCTGCTCTTCTTTGTTTTGGTTTTTTTTTTGGTGGCTGGCTGGTATAGTGATCTAAACCCTTGACCTTGGTGTTATCAGCACTGCACTCCAACCAGGCGTGCTCTTGTTTTCATTATGCCTGATACCTGCATTTCACAAGGATCTTTCACTTATGTTCCTTATATAACAATTCATCGAGCAGTGTGCTAAAATACAAGTTGAGTACTGCAGTCAAGTGGCCTCTAATTAAGGACTGGAACAACTAGTACAAAGCAGACTGTACTAGACCTGTGAAACCATGGTAGCTACTGTTTCCAGTTTGCCCATGGCCATGCAGACACAAAGAGGCAAAGGCAGGACTCTAGCCTCAAGGTGAGACTTCATGCCACAATATTACTTTAGAAGAGATGAGAAGTAAGAGGGTAGGTAGGAGTGAGTGTACCTTTGAAGACTGAGATTTGATTGCTATGGATAATGGGAAAGGGCCACTCACTCCAGGTGAGAGGAGATGAGAAGTAAGAGGGTAGGTAGGAGTGAGTGTACTTTTGAAGACTGAGATTTGATTGCTATGGATAATGGGAAAGGGCCACTCACTCCAGGTGAGAGCCTGGAAAACTCTTGGTAAACATATTAAAGGAATAATGAGCATATAGCAGGGAACAGGGAAAAGGGCTGGAAAAGAATGTTGCAGCCAGCTTGAAAAAGGTTTCTTAGCACCATACCTATGATTTATTTGAGTACACAATGGCCACAAATGGCCTATTTTGGATGATTGTCTGACCTCTATTAACATAAGCCTTTAAGATTATCAGTATTTTTTGTTTGTTTAAAGATTAGGGCCATAGTCTACAAAAAGTCAAGAAGACAACAAAAATTTAAACTACTACATTGTCCACTCAGTCTTTCTGAAAGGTCCCAGTATCCTTTAAATATGGGTAGCCATGTTACTTACTCCTGTAATTTTAACAACTCTTGCATGTTATACAGACCAAGAGCTAATAATAATAGGCTCCTGTTTCCTAGAAGCTGATCCTTCCTTTACAAATTAAACATGGCATATGCTAGTAATCCTAGACCTTCAGTGAAAATTTGTGTTTGTCATGATACTGCTAAGGATACTTAAGATTGGTAACTTTTTTTTTTTTTTTTTGTCTTTTTTCCGTGTCCGGCAACGGATCGCAACCCTCAGTGTTGCCCCCGTACCGGACCGGGGACCGGCAACGGGATCGCAACCCTTGGTGTTGCTCCCGCGCCTCACTCAGCCAGTGAGCGGGAACCGGTCTAAGATTGGTAACTTTTTTGTAGGAGTTCATCATTATAGCAGGAACTGGCAGATGAGACACTCCAGCTAGGACTGGACTCTGCTACCTTCTCCACTAAAACCAGGACAAATGAAAAAACAAGCTTATATCCCAAAAGTAAAGGGAATCAGGGATCTAGGAGTGGTCAAAGGGATTGTCAGCAAACTTTTTCTGTAACATACCAGTAAATATTTTAAGCCTTTTGGTCAAATACAGTCTACTTACACACACACACTCACACACACACACACGCATGCACGCACACAAACACACATTTTTTAAACAACCCTTTAAAATGTAAAAACCATTTTTAGTTCAAAGACTGCAAAAACAGGCAATAGGCTGGATTTGACCCACACACTGTTAGTTTGTCTCTGGTACAAACAACAAATGGGAATTATGTGATATGACATATGGGACTTACATAAAGTTCATCTGGGACAAATGAGAGGTGAATTAAAGGCAAACTACTGTGAAGTCATAATGTGGACTAGAACAGCTCCCAGTAAATGTGAAGAGAATACAATAAGATCGCAAGTGAAAACAGATGATGTTAACAGGAAAAGAAAGGAGAAAAAAAGGAGCACAAAGAAGAAAGGAAAAAAGTACAACACAAAATTTGTGAGCCATCTCAAGTCATCAAAAAAACATCATTCTATTGTAGGGGGCAAGCTGGAAACAATGGCAGTGCAGTTTTGTGTTAGGAACTGAAGCACTGTTGTGCCTCCTCACAGTAGCCAAGAGTTGGAACCAATCTAATGTCCTTCAATGGATGATTGGATAAAGAAAATGCGATACACATATACAATGGAATACTACTCAGCCATTAAAAAAAAAATTCTGCCATTTTCAGCAACATGGCTGAGCATGGTGAAATCAAGTGAAATAAGTCAGGCACAGAGAGAAATACCACATTCTCACTCATATGTGGAAGCTAAAAAAGTTGATCTCATAGAAGAGTAGAATAGTGGTAACTAGAGACTGGTGGTGGTTGGAAGGAGGAGGAAGGGGAAGGATGGGATGGGGGAGGAGGTGGTCAGTGAATATAAAGTATTAGAGAAATAGAAGAATGGGAACTAGGGTACTATAGTAATATAGGGGGACTACAGTTAACAATAAAGTACTGTGTCTTTGAATAGCTAGTCACGATGATGTCGAATGTTCCTAACACAAAGAAGTGACAAATGTTTGAGGTGATGGATATATTAAGTGCCCTGATATGATCATTGCATACAGTATGAATGTACCCAAATATCATACTGTACTCCCTAAACATATACAATTATCCTGGGCCAATTAAGAAAAATAAGTTAAAAAGAGAAATAGAGTAGAATAGTGATTACCAGAAGCAGGGAAAGGGAGGGAGTGAGGGAAGAGGGGCCGGGGAAAGGTGGGTAGACTGGTACAAAGTTACAAAGTTGCAGTCAGATGGGAAGAATAAATTGTGGTGCCCTACGGACAACAGCTAATAATACTGTATTATATATGTCAAGACAGCCAGAAAAGAGGATCTTGAATGTTATAACCACAACAAAATGATAAATGTTGAGGTGATAGATATGCTATCAATCCTGAGTAGATCATTACACAATACATGCATGTACTGAAACGACAAATTGTAACACATAAACATGTACAAAGAAAAAAATAATTAAAATAAAAATGTAGGGCTGGCCAGCTAGCTCAGTTGGTTAGATCACACATAGCCTTGCAACACCAAGGTCAAGGGTTCAAATCCCCATACTGGCCAGCTGCCAAAAAAATTAAATTAAATTAAAATGGGGGGAAAAAACAAAAGCAAAAAACTGAAGCACTGGCCCCGGTTAACCATAGAAATAACAATTAGAAGAGACAGAAGCTTATCAGTACCCTATGGTTTTGTCTGCAGCTTCCAAAGAGCTAGGATATGAACTGTCTAAAAGTCTTTTCAAGCTAAACATACAGTACACAAATTTAGCCCATTTACTATTAAGTGAAGAGACACATTTAAGCCTACAAAAGCAAACTGTTTACTACCTACTATATAACTTACTTTTATTGAAAGTATTTTGCATTCATGATGGATGTTTTCTGGGTTTTACCACATTATTTTAATGTTAAAGATTAAGTTATTTTTTACATGCAAATAGTGTGAATAGTTTCCCCACAAGAGAACACTGATTATAAAAAGATGACATACTACATGGGTTAAGTGGTTTTTTTAATTGAAAAGCTAACAAACGGTCTAGTTACATTTCTTCCCTCAAAAAAACAGAAACTAGTTAGTAACTGAGTCTCCAAGCAATATATTCAAAGCTGAGAGGATTCAAAGTAAAAAAAAAAAAAACAAGTCCTCAGGTCCAATTAAGGCAGGCCTGCTACATACAGGGTAATCAATACAAGTGGTACTTTTTGACTCAAAGAGGCTGGAAGACATCCTAATAACTCCAATCAGAACATTTACTTCAAGCTGACTTTTTCCAGTTTCCAACTCATGAATATATTTTATTAATTCCATTTCAGAAAACTTTTAGCAAGTTGTTTTATTTACAATGCCAACTTTTAAAAGGTTACTAAAGTTAAATGGACAATAACCTAGGCAGAAATTGCTTTACAAAAAAAGAGGGAAAGTCCAAAATGTCACTTTCTATAGAGAACCCACAGTTCAGTTTTACTCAAGCAAAGAAAAAAGAAACTTTTGATCACACTAGAAGAAACTCCGCCATTGGTCTGGAATCTGTACTCAAACTACACATGCAATGAGGACAATATTCCACTAATACAATTGATTTGCTGCTGCATTTGTCTACTGTTTGTCTAATATTAACAATTATAAACAGAGCAGTGCAACTAGTATTTGGAACAATCCTTACAGTGTTACAGTGTCAGGCACAACATATCACTTCTCTTCACACCACTGATTCTCTTTGCGTACCTAGAAGAGGAGACATATGTAAGGAAGTGCCTCAACTTGAATAGTCTTTCCTAAGACTTCTAAATACTATCTACTGATTCATTAATAGCCTGTGAGGTGGGTCAGGACAGGTGGAAAACTGGGAATACAGCAGGTTAAGATTCCCTTTGCCTCCCCAAGTTTTTATTCTGCCCTGCTGAAATTATTAAAGAAGCGAAGGCAACAGGAAATTAGTTTCAGTCACCAAAGCTAACAGAGAAAATTCAATTAGTTCATTTACATAATTTCAGTTCATAGCCATGTCAACAAAATCATTCTGATTTATTCGTTCATTTCCTCCCCATTCACTAAGTTGCTCTGAAGTATCCCAGCATACACTCATCCACAGGGCCTACTTTTCTTTTTTTTTTTAAAAGATGACCGGTAAGGGGATCTTAATCCTCAACTTGGTGTTGTCAGCACCACGCTCAGCCAGCAAGTGAATCGGCCATCCCTATATGGGATCCGAACCCGGGGCCTTGGTGTTATCAACACCACACTCTCCCGAGTGAGCCACGGGCCGGCCCAATAGGGCCTACTTTTCTGAAATCAAATATGACTTTTTTTTTTTTTTTGTCCTTTTTGAGACTGGCCGCACCGCGCTCAGCCAGTGAGCGCTGTGAGCGCACTGGTCATCCCTATATAGGATCCGAACCCGCGGCGGGAGTGCTGCTGCACTCCCAGCGCCACACTCTCCCGAGTGCGCCACGGGCTTGTCCCTTTCTACCTATTTCTAACAAATCAGTGGTCTCCAAACTATTTTTTTTTTGTCCTTTTTGAGACTGGCCGCACCGCACTCAGCCAGTGAGCGCTGTGATTTTTAAAGGCTCAGTATTATTTTTGCATGTTTTCTAAGAAATTTTCAATTATTAATTTAACCCACTTGCCTCATTTTGTGTCTGTCTGCCAGTTTAGTTTCGGATGTTCTGTTGTGTTGCCAATGTTTCTGATGTTGTCAGTGTTTCTTGTGTTCTGTTGAGTTACCATCATATACATCCTAAGGGGTTTTTTGTTTTTTGTTTTTTTAAAGTGCAAGCTATACAAAAGGTCCCACGTGCCAAAAAAAAAACTAGTAACTGCTAATGAATTTATATGAAAGCATCTAAGTGTTCAGCTTCATAGAGACAAACCAGTAAGAGTATGTTTAAGACACAGAAGGTGGGCCGACCCCGTGGCGCACTTGGGAGAGTGAGGCGCTCCCGCCGCGGGTTCGGATCCTATATAGGAATGGCCGGTGCGCTCACTGGCTGAGTGCCGTGTGGGTGACACCACACCAAGGGTTGCGATCCCCTTACCGGTCACGAAAGACAAAAAAAAAAAAAAAAAAGACACAGAAGGTACCTATTATCCCTCAAGCATCAAGATACCTTAACACAGGCACCTTTCCCCCTGGCATGTTATGGGTTTCAGTCTCTTTTAAAAAGCATGTGATCAAGGACAAACTGTGTGCCACCTACCTGGGCTTCCTCCTCTTCAGTGAAGTCATTTTTGATATTGAAGGTCTTGCGAATCTCCTCAGGAGTTTTCCCCTTGATCATATTGGCAACAGTCTTGCAGGCAACAGTCTTGCAGGTGACATCAAGCAAACCTTTGATGTCTAAGTAGTTTGCAGCCTGAAAAGTGATCGTTGTCTTCATTAAAGTATACCTGATGTTTTAAACTAAATCCAGTTAGTGACTGATCCATATCTAATTATGCTTACAATACTAGTTAATTTTAAGAAATTAAAGGGAGAAGAATTGTACAAAAATTCTCCTGTGAAACACACTTCCGTATGTGACCTCCTTTGTAATACCTCTACATAATGAGTCCTGCTCCTGCTTTAGGTAAACTACACTAGCTTAAATGTTAAATAATGGCCTCTATTGGTGTGTGTGTGTTTTCATGCAAGCATCACATGTCCGGTTTTGGCAAAAATATTTATCCACACCTAAAGAGTTATAACATAAGCAGTTACAATATTACGTTTTATTGATTTTCTCAAAAAACAGCTTTCAGTTTCAGTGGTTTTCTGTATTGTTTTCCTGCTTTCGATTTCACCAATTTCTGCTCTTTAATATTCTCATTCATCTGCTTGCTTTTAGTTTAATTTCATCTTTCACTAGTTTCTTAAGGTGGAAGCTTATATAATTGATTATAACTTTTCTTCTTTTCTAATATAGGTGTTTTTCCCTTGTTTTAGCTGCATCCCACAGACTTTTCATGTTTTTATTTCTATTCAGTTCAAAATATTTTCTAATATTTTTAATTTCTTCTTTCACCCATGGGCTACTTGGAAATGTTTTAAAATATCTGAAGACTTTTCCAGATACCTTTCTGTTACTGATTTCTAATTTAAGTCCACTGAGGTCAGAGAACACACTTTGTATGATTTGAATCCATTTAAATTTAAGACTTGTTTTATGGGCCAGAACAGTCTATCCTGGTAATATACACTTAAAAAGAATATGCATCCTGCTGTCATTAGGTGCAATGCTCTATAAATGTCAATTAAGACAAGTTGGTTGATAGTGTCATTCAAATCTTCTATAGCCTTACTAATTTTCTGTCTACTTGTTCTATTAATTATTGACAGACAGGTGTTGAAATCTCTAACTATGATTATGGATTTGTGTATTTCTCCTTTGAGTTCTACTGGCTTTTGTTTGACTTTTTGGAAGTTCTGCTTTGAGGTAGATAAACATTTATAATCGCTATGTCCTCTTAATGAATTGAGCCCCTTATCATTCTGAAATAACCCACTTTAACCCTGGTAATATTCTTTGCTCCAAAATCTACTTTAAGGGCCGGCCTGTGGCTCACTCGGGAGAGTGCAGTGCTTATAACACCAAGGCCACGGGTTCGGATCCCATATAGGGATGGCCGGTTAGCTCACTGAGTGAGTGTGGTGCTGACAAAATCTACTTTAAAATAATTTTCCAAGCTTTCTTCTGACTGGTGTTTGCATAGTATATCTTTTTCCATCCTTTAAACCTAGTTGTGTCTTTATACTTAAAGTGGGTTTCCTATAGACAGCATAGGTGAGTCTTGCTTTTCTCTGATCTGACAATCTCTGCCTTTTATCTATGGTGTTTGGACTGTTTATATTTAATGTGAATACTGATATGTAGATTTAAATATAGCATTACATTTGAGTTAAGAGTATTAAAATTAAGCATCAATTAACTTAGCAAATTTAACTCTATTAGAGGTGCTACAGTCTCTGGAATAGAGCTATCACACATTAAAAACATACCAGAATAAGTTCAAAAAGTGTTCCTTGGTCAACTTTCAGGAATTCTTGGTCCCAAACAGGGATATCATCTGTTCGCTTTTCTTTGTTCTCATCATCCTCAGGAGGAGGAGGGTCATCCTTGTGGTGGGTGCACCACTGAATGACCTACAAAAACAAAAGTTCATTCCTCTGTGGCACTTCATTACAAGGTACTCATTCCACTGCTGGGACAATGTTATTCCTATATTGGTGTTATAAGGCTCCAGTCTAACCAACTGAGCTAACCAGCCAGTCCTCCTATTCCTACACTGGGATAAGAACTACCTAGAGGTTGACTTGAACAATAAATTAATAGTCAAGCTTAAAAAGCAGAAATGAAGCTTGAAGAATCTTTACAACCCCAGAGAATGGAAGACCTTATTAGATAAAAGCAAACAATGCAGACAGAGTACTATACTTGACCACATTAAAAAGCTTCTGTGCAAAAAGAAACAAAGTCAGACAGGACAATGACTGGAAGATACCTGCAACATGTACAACCAACAATGGATTAGCCTATAGAATATAAAATCTTAAAAATCACTATAGGGCCGGCCCGTGGCTCACTCAGGAGAGTGTGGTGCTAATAACACCAAGGCCCAGGGTTCGGATCCCATATAGGGATGGCCGGTTCGCTCACTGGCTGAGCGTGGTGCTGACAACACCAAGTCAAGGGTTAAGATCCCCTTACCGGTCATCTTTTAGGGAAAAAAAAAAAAAATCACTAGAGAAATGGTTTAAAGATATGTATGACGTGGTGCTGATAACACCAAGGTCAAGAGCTCAGATGATGCCCCTAACAGCCAGCAGCCAAAAAAAAAGGTATGTACAGGTAATTAACAAAATAAATCTGAATAGTCAAGCATGAGAAAATGCTTGACTTCACTGGATGCAAAACTAACACATCAGATACTACTCTACACTGAAAAAAAACCCACAAGATTTTGACAATACTAATTGTTGTCAATTAGTATTGTTGGCAATCGTGTGAAGGAAACCGAACTCTTCTACTGGAGAGCATAAATTGGTATTGGTATAACCACTTTGAAAAGTAACCTAGCACTATCTAGGAAAGCCAAATATGTGCATACATTATAACCAAGAAATTCCAAATATCCCAGACACGTGCATAAGACTATTTGGTGTAGGAACGAAACAGGAAAAGTCCAAATGTTCCCATAGTTAAAGTTCCAGGAGAATGATTAGCTCGACTATGTGTACCAGCATGAAGACCAGAATCAATACTGAAAGTATTAAGCTGTAGCATCTAGGTGCTGGGTACATGGGTGTTTGCTATATAATTCTTTCAACTTTTCTGTATGTTTAAAATTTTCTCACAGTAAAATTTTGAGGGAATAAACAATGCCAAGAGAAAATGGTAGAACCAAGAAATTATACTTCCAGGATGCAAAAAAAAAAAAGGAATGAGCTATTTCAAGACAGAAAGCCAAGCATTAAGGGGGCTTTAATGAAATAAATAATACCTTTTTAAGAAGTAGTCCAATTATATAAGAAAAGAAAGAAATGGCAAATAAGATTTGCTTATAAAGTCATTTTAAAAACTCTTAAAAAGGGCCGATCCCGTGGCGCACTCGGGAGAGTGCAGCGCTGGGAGCGCAGCGCTGCTCCTGTCGCGGGTTCGGATCCTATATAGGAATGGCCAGTGCGCTCACTGGCTGAGCGCAGTGTGGGCGACACCAAGCCAAGGGTTGCAATCCCCTTACCGGTCACGAAAAAGACAAAAAAAAAAAAAAAATAAGCCAGATACAAAAGGACAAATACTATATGGCTCCATGTATGAGGTACCCAGAATAGCCAAATTCATAGAGACAGAAAGTACAATAATGATTGCCAGGGGCTGGGGAAAGGGAGAAATGCGGAGTTATTGTTTAATGGATACAGAGTTTCAGTTTGGGATGATGAAAAGGTTCTGGAGATGGTTAGCAGTAATGGTTACACAACATAGTGAATGTACTGAATGGTACACTTAAAAAAAGTTGAAATGCGGGCCGGCCTGTGGCTCACTCGGGAGAAGTGCGGTGCTGATAACACCAAGGCCCCGGGTTCGGATCCTATATAGGGATGGCCGGTTAGCTCGCTGGCTGAGCGTGGTGCTGACAACACCAAGTCAAGGGTTAAGATCCCCTTACCGGTCATCTTTTTAAAAAAAAAAAAAAAGTTGAAATGGTATATTTTATATTATGTACATTTTACCACCTTTTTTTTTTTTTTAAAGAAACTCCATTAGAAAGATGGGCAAATGAAAACAGACAATGCAGAAGATATAAATGGCCAATAACACATGTAAAAAATGTTCAGACTTAGAGAATTAGTTTTTACCCAGTCTAGGGAGATTAAAAAGACCGATAATAGTTAATGTTAGTAAGAGCACGGAAAAATATGCAGTGCAGTTTCATCTCATGCAGGAGTCAAGTTCTCAAGAGAAAGCCGAAGACAGAATTGCATATGTCAGTAACCTTTGAAAAATCCCACAGGAAGGGGCCAACTGGAGCTGAACATCCCCATCTTTAAGTCTAGCCAGTTTTCCCAATGTGGAAAAAAGCTGCTATTTCCTTAGAATGACAATCCAATTAAACAGCTTGCTGTGTTAAGGAGCCATATGCCCTGAAACACTAGAATCCTATTAAATTTGGGGAAGTGTTTATGCTCAGACACCAGTAGAGTGATCAACTTGGGGGTGGAGGGGGGTGGGGAACACAGCTCTTATTCTCAAGATCCCTTTGAGTGCACCACAAAGGGTGCTTGAGAATAAGAGATGTGTTTTTGAAAAAAATTTTCACAATATAATGTATTTCTGTAATTTAAGTGTGATAAAGCAAAAGACTAGACAACTCAAATATTCACAGGGCCAGGTTAAATAAAGTACAACAAATATTTACAGTCACACTACACGGAGTTAAAAAAAAATAAAAAAGAGGATGCTGTGTATTAATATAGGAAGATCACCATTTCATTTTGTTGTATGAAAAAAAAAAGAAAACATACAAGTATATAGTTTGCTACCTCTAGAATGGGGGGGGGAATACTCATTTGTTAATGTCTGCATTACAAAATACTAAAAGGATAAATGATTACCTGAAAGAGGGGGATCAGAGTGAACAGGGACAGAAGTGGGAACAAAGTGTTATAGATTCTTTATATTCAAAAATATAAATCTTAAGAAACGTAGTCATGATTCAATTCCACCATGCTCTGAGAAGTGGTGTCTTTATTAAAGGCTTATTAGCACTACCTATCAAAATTTAAGTGTATCCTCTGACCTATTCTACATCTAGATCACCTATCCTAGAGAAGTGCTTGCATAGGTGTACCAAGTACTACGTAAACTATCTTTCTGATGCCCAATGAATGACAATGGTCAACTGTTATAAGGGAACAGACAGAACTTTTTTCTGTATACAATTACATTGTTCAAGAACATTCAAATATCATTCAAATTTAAGAACATTTAAATTTAAAAGTAATTTTAAGCAATAAGTTCTAATACAGATTGTTGAATTATTTGTATTAACTACTGTTATATTTTAAGCAGAATGAAATAAACTAACCTCACCTGAATACTGGTACAGATACCCAAATAAAATGTATACCAGAATAAGTTCAAATGTGGGTTAAGTGTACTTTTAGGAAATTTTGGTCTAAAAAAAGTTATGTACATTTTCCTATTTCATCAGGATTAGAAGCATCACATGTTAGATTCAGAACTACTCATCTAGGGCCAGCCTATGGCTCATTTGGGAGAGTGTGGTGCTGATAACACCAAGACCACGGGTTCAGATCCCTATACAGGGATGGCTGGTTAGCTCACTTGGGAGAGAATGGTGCTGACAACACAAAGTCAAGGGTCATCTTACCGGTCATCTTTAAACCCTCTTACCGGTCATCTTTAAAAACAAACAAACAAACAAACAAAAAAACTACTCATCTATACAAAGGAAAAATGGAAGTGTATAAAAGCTTAAAAGCTAACTTCATTAAGAAAAAAGTGTCCCCACTCTAAAAAATCAAACTCTTTAAAGAATTTACCTTTTTTAATATTGCTGCATTAACATTTGGTAGAGGAACTGGGTCATCATCTCCTTCATCATCCATTCCCAAATCTAAGAAAACCAGAAGAAAGTCGCCATTATTTCTTAACTCCACTACAATACACCAATCAGGCTATGTCTCAAACAAGTAACTTTCAAGACATGTTGTCTGAAAGAATATAAAAAGTATGTTACTAAGAATAGTTCTCTTGGGAGCATTTAAAATCAGTGGCTCCTAACAATGTGTCCATTAACCACCCAAAACTACAGTCAGGTGTCACTTAACAATGGGGATACATTCTGAGAGATGCATCGTTAGGCAATTTCGTCACTGTGCAAACAGAATGTAGTTACACAAACCTAGATGGTATAGCCTATTGCTCCTAGGTTACAAATCTATATAGCATGTTACTGTACTGAATATTGTAGGCAACTGTAAGACAATGGTAAATATCTGTGTATCTAAACACAGAAAAAAAGGCTGACCGGTTAGCTCAGTTATTTACGGTGCAGTGTTGGTAACAGTGTTGGTCAAGGGTTCAGATCCCCATACCAGCCAGCCGCCAAAAAAAAATAAAAAATAAACATAGAAAAGGTACAGTAAAAATACGGTATAAAAGATATAAATGGTACACTTACATAGGGCACTTATCATAAATAGAGCTTACAGGACAAAGTTGCTCTGGGTGAGTCACTGAGTGAGTGGTGAATGTAAAGGCCTAGGACATTACTGTAGACATTATAAACACTGAACATTTAGGCTACACTAAGTTAATAAAAAAGTAAAGTAATTGCCCTATGACATTATGACAGCTATGATGTCACTAGGCAATAGGAATTTTCCAGCTCCATTATAAACTTATGGGACCATCTTATACGTGATCCATGGTTAACCAAAATGTCATGTAGCACATGTCTATATAAAGTTGTGAGTATAGACAAATACAGCAATATTATATAAAGGCAATTCTTAATTAGGAGCAAAAGTGACTTAATAAGTAGGACTGAGTGACTAGGCAGCCATCTGGAAAAAAATTAAAGCTGGACCCTTGCTCTTACTCTTTGCACCAAATTCTCTAGATGGAATGCATTTAGAGAAGTAAAACAATGAAAAGTTTTATTACAAGTAATAGAACTTCAATCTATTCAAATATGAAGCCCAAAGCTGTACTTCAAAAAGTACACGGAGTGGCTAGCTGGTTAGATCAATTGGTCAGAGCATCATGCTGATAACACCATGGTTCAGGGTTCAACCCCTGTACTGGCCAGCTGCAAAAAAAAAAAAAAAAAAGTTCACGGAAAAATAGAATTAAAAGATAATATCTGAATGAATCTTTCCATGAATTTTTGAAGTACCCTTGTATACATACACACGCAACAGATCATGCAGCCCTTAACAAAAACAAGGCAGGCAAGCCCCATACATACTGGTAAGATCAAAATTAAAGTTTTTTAAAGCTAGGTATAAAAAGATAAATGTGAATAAAAATGGAAATATGCATTTATGTTTTAAATATCCTCATAAAGATACATAAGGAACTGTTAATGGTATTATGTCTAGGGAAGTTAAAGAGAACATGGGTTGAAGGACTTACTTGCAACATATACCTTTTAGTGTTGCTTATCATGTACTTATTACCTATAATATTCAATCTATAGATTTCTCTGGTAAAAAGGTTGAACTTTCAGATTCTCAAAGTGGTTGGTGAATCTCAAAGAAAAAAATCTAAAATTAAAATCCATATATTAAAGATTCTGAATAAAAACATTTTTCAAACCAAATGGGCCTGTCCTTCAGTTTGTACACAACTAACTTACTTAATAGTTATCAAGTATCAAAATTAGAAGCCAAAAGTTCATCAGGTACTGCATTGGTTACAGCAGAGTATCACTGATGCAGACATGGCAAATGCAGAGTCAAACATCTGAGTCCTTAATATACACCAGGTGTTATCCTAGGCAGGAGAGAGTAAGCGATGAATACAAGAGAATGGGCAGAATTGCCAAAATTTTAAAGTTGCACAGGATGTCTCACTGAGGTGTCATTTTTTTTTTTTTTTTTTGTCTTTTTGTCTTTTTCCGTGTCCAGCAACGGATCGCAACCCTCGGTGTTGCTCCCGCGCCTCGCTCAGCCAGTGAGCGGGAACCGGTCTGTATGTGAGATCCGAACCCGCCCCTCCCGTGCCTCGCTCAGCCAGTGAGCGGGAACCGGTCTGTATGTGAGATCCGAACCCTTGGGCGGGAGCGCCGCCGCGCTTCCCAAGCGGCGCACTATCCAGTGCGCCACCGGGCCGGCCCGTGAGAAGGTGTCATTTTTGTAAAACCCTAAAGGAGGCAAAAACACCTAAGCAGAGAGAATGACAAACGCCTTCTGATAGGAGTGTATGGCATGTTCTAAATACACTAAGGAATGTAGTGTTACTAGATCAGGGTTTAAGGGGGAATAGGAGAAGATCAAATAACAGGGTGCCAGATATAATAGGGCCTTGTGCATTTTGGCATGTTGAGAAAAGATAGTAGACAGTGGGGCCAGGGAAACCAATTGTAGGGTTGACAATAATCCAAACACAAGATGATGGTAGCTTGGACAATGTTTGTAGCTAAGCAGGAGATAAGAAATGGTCTGATACTGTATGCATTTTGAAGGTAGAGCCAATATAACTTGTCAACAGAAGGGAAGTAGAACGTGAAAGGGAAGAGACTAAGGTTTACGGCATGATAAGGATGGAGCTACCTACTGAAGTTGCCATCAATCAATAAGGAGAATGTTGTCAGAGAAACTGTTATTGTTATGAAAAGCTCTAGTTTCATAAATTTGATATCTAGTGTATATGCAAGTCTAGAAGTCAAAAGAAGAGATCAAAACTGTAGGTTTGGAAACTGGTGTATAGATGGTTTATAATGCTATGAGACTATTACCACCAAGGGAATGAATGAGTATATATATAGTGAAAAGGTCCAAGGATTAAGCCCTGGGGAATGAACTACAGGCTTTACAGATGGGAAGACAGAAGGCTGTGCGTGAGGGGGCTGGCTGGTTAGGTCACTTGGTTGGAGTGTGGTGCTGATAACATTGGGGTCAAGGGTTTGGATTCCCTTACCTGCCAGCTGCAAAGAAAAAAAAAAAAAGGAAAAGAAGGCAAGAAGGCTGTGAGTGAGATAAGTAAGGTAAGTAGCAAGTGAAGTATCCTGAAGCCAAGGGAAGAAGGGAATGATCAAGTGTAACTGCTGTCAATAGGTCTAGATGAGAAATGAAAACAAATGCAATTGACATGAAGGTCACTGAGCTTAAGCAGTTCTAGCAGAGTGGTAAAGACGGCAGTAGATTAAAAAATAATTCAATTCACGTTGTCCTATATAAATGGATTCACTCACCTCCCCTCTCCTTACCACCAATGCCTGTCCCTGATTCCATCTCAGCATAGAGTAAAACTAAAATGACAACCTCTCATATGAAGTTCCATTTGGATCAAGTCATTTATGGTATGATATATTTTTAATCAGGCAAGAGAAAGAAGTCACACTACGTAAAATACTTGTGTTTGGAGAATTAAGATATTAGAGGAAACATACACAGAAGACCAGCTTGTTTAGATCCAAATGTTATTTGGAAGAAGAATTAAGTCACATTAAAAATAAGGCCCTTATAGTTGCAAAGGATTGCTTCTCTAGCATTTGAACTAAGGACTTGTAATATCTGTGGCTTTTAAACTAAATGCACAAGTAGGAATAGTCATTCCTTTACACTATTTAGTTTCAAGGACTTCTGAAAGACACCCGTATCCTGATACCACACCCTGAACCTGAATAAATCAGCCAATTCACATGCACACATGCCAAGTTTTCCACTTCTGACTGTCCTGTGATTAAAAGGTTTTATTTTTGTTTTCTAAGTCACATAAAACCCATAACCAGAGATACTACAGATGCAAAACAAGGAAAGCAGTAAGTTGCCAAATTCAAAAGACTCTAGTCCTCAAGTGGCTAGAATCCAATATAAGCCATTCATACTTAAGATAAAACCATTCACTTCTGATCCCCAAAGCTATGAAGGGAAAGAATCATTTAACTATTGCTTACTGTCTATCAGTCCACTTGCTTCAGTGATCAAAGTTGATATGTAAAACCTTCAAGGAGCCCTATGTTGTTCTTAAAATTTGCAAATGTTTCTTTGAAGCAGCAAAGGACAGATTAGTGTGTCAGGCACCAACTAAGATGAAATAAAGAACACTTTCATTGCCAAAGCAAGTACTTAGGCAGCAATTTTGGTATGCAATTTGGTATGCTGATAGTTCTACATCTTCTAAATAAAGCCTTACTCACCTGCCTTTAGGGACACTTGGATTGTTTTCATACTCTTTATAAGTGACCATACCATACTTCTTCAATCAACTGGTACTTGATGAACAGTGACTGTGGGATGTATCAAGGGGTTTACAACTTAATAGAAGTGATCTACATATGTAAGTTATTGGGACACGGGACTGTAAGTGCCACATGATTCGTACCAATTACCAGAAAGAATTACATGTGCAGCTTTTATAAAAAAAACAGAAGTTGCCCACTTAGAAAAGAGAAAACACACCCTCTGCAATTCAGCTTCTGCCTGTACCACATCTAAATGAGGGTACTTCAAAAGTTCATGAAAAAACTGAACTAAAAGATAATACAAACCTTTACACAAACTTTTTTTTTTTTTTTTTTTTTTT